TTTAGGTTGCGTTTCATCAACTGCCTCTTTTTAATGGCAGTTAGGATACGCGCCATCTCGAGCCGGTTCCGTCAGGTTGTCTCGCGCAATTTATGTAGCGACGCAGCACCGGGAAATCGCTGCTGCAGGGGCAATCCCTTGATCAGTGATGCTATGCACTGGTCTCTTCTGTGGCAAAGTAGTGAGCAGCAAACGGCTGAAAATCATTTACCAATTCAAAGTTGACAATGTAGATTACTTCTTGGTGGTTTCTTTCAGTTATAATAATTTAGACATCTTTCCTTCAATTTCACCTGGATTTGTGCTTTGCTGGCCTTGTTCTGGTCTGCATTGTGCTCTTTGCTGTGGGTGGTATCACGCCATATGGAGTGCAAGGATTTACAAGTGGGGCCTTTAATGTGCTCCGCCCTTGCAACGAAGGAGGGGAAAGACTATTACAGATGACAGGACAGCGTCTTGCTAAAACCAGCGTAGTGATTTCCTGTTAAGGCAATGAACAGGTCACTCCTACATAACCCACTGTACATCAAAATACGATAATGTCTCACGGCTCTAATTTCATTGATCAACCAGATTATCGAAACAAACGCACTCATGAATTACTCGAAGTATTCGAAGCTTCTCGTATAAGGACATGTACTGATAGTCCCGTCAGCCCCACGCACACTGCTCTCAAAGGGAACTCTGGGGCAATTTGGACCATATTAAGATAATGTCGTTTCTGAATAGTATTGACAGTTTTGGAAGAACTAATGTGGTTTCTTTTGTCCAGACAACTGTCAATAATTATAATTAGGCAATAACGATGAGTCAAAGCAGTAATCAAAACGGAAAGACTATCCGTCCACCTTGATGAGTATCAAATGGTGTAACGAAATCCGTATCGAAAGACGTCCCGAAATCCCCTGCACACCGATACGTCTGGAAAAGGTGTAAACATAGCGCACGTACCTCTTTAGACGTGCTAAAGAAAATGGGCAACGTCATCCGAAGCGTAATCAAGCTGTGCCAACTCGTCAGAACTCACCAGTGACAAGTTCAGCAATAATTGCAGCTACTGTCTAATGACTCAAGTATCGCCTTTTGATTTCAAGCCGCCGGTGCTTGAAGCATCTGACGTGCCCCACATCGACCTCCTTGTTGCTCAATAATCACGTCAACGCGCTGTATGGAGGTGACAAAACTGAATTGTGCGCACGTCCTCGTCGCCCCGTAGGAGAAAGCACGCACTGAATCCGTCTGCTACGCAAAGCAGGGTTTTTTCTACCGTTCTGACTTATTATTCACTTCTCTGCACGTTCGCTATGTACTATCCTGTTTATATAACTCGTTAGCTTCGTTGCGCCGACTGAGAGAAACACTTGCACAGGCGCTTAAGAGCTATGTGTTTGCGATACAAGAAGCCTATATTTATTGCAGTGTGGCAGTAAATAGACCTTTTCAAAGCAAAGGAGCGTGACCTGTGAGCACTCATTGTAAAAGTGTGTGCAGCCGTGCCAATGAGCACGCGGGCTTCACAATTCAACTTACCGTTTGCACCGTGGAAGCGCGTATCAGATGAAGTGAACTTGGCAAAACGTGACATATCAATGCGTGGTTCACTGACTATCCTAAGTATTTATTTGCGGCGGCTTGTCTACGATTTCCACTTTCCTACAGTTATACCAAGTGTGCAGCTCAGAAGCATCTGTTTTATTATTACCCATTAGCGGAGAACATCTTCGACATAAATAAAAAAAGAATACAACTTGGTTACATAAAAGGTGTTAGAGTGTTCCACAAGTGTTTGATCAATTAAGAAGCACTCTCCATTGACACTGTTGGCGAGCAAACTGTAAGGTTTCGGTATTTGAAATGTTGTCTAGAAATCACCGGAATTTCAAGAAATAAGATATTTTCACTCGACCACTTGAGCGCCGCTGGCATCATGGTGAATGGCAAAATTACTCTGCCTTCAGAGATAAAATTATATTTGCCTCACTGAACGCGAGGTGCGATGAAATGGCTCTAATGAAATGAATTTAGATGCTTTCTGAGGTTCGTGTCAATACACCAGGCAGTGTGATCCTTGTATAGATATAAGAACACAAAAAAAGAATAGTGGTCAGACATCCTGAAAAACAAAATAAAGAACTGTTGGTATGCCTCTGATAGTATTTTTCTAATCACACTGGATGCCACTCTGACCTTTTGTGCTCTAGGGAACAGATGTCGCTAAGCTTATGATTTGAGAAACACAGCACTCACCCCGTATCGCTACCCAACTTTTTTTTTCGAACTGTGCAACTGATGTATACATGGAATAAATGCATTATTTCTAGTTTCTTCCTGCCTGAAGGACACCCGTATTCATCCTCCCTTTATTATTTTATGTGAATGACCTTTTGACGAACCGATAAAATATGATTGCAGGATACCATGCCTCTTCTAGTCGAGCAGTTTGCAGCAGGAAACCATTGCTGAAATTATTTGGCAAAGCTTTTTTTTCTTTTATGACAAGCGTAAGCACGCCATACTTTTTCATTAAACAATATCGGAATGCACCGACGTGATATTTAACAGTGCTTCCGCTGAACGCGGATTGTACTGCCATCAAACGGGCTCACTAGTGACACATAAGAATCTATGAACAGACACCACATTGCAGAGCAGGGTACCTCTCAAGTGAATTTTTATTTCATCTCTTCGTGCTTAGGCCGTTTAAAATGAACACTTTTTTCTACGCGGTAATAGGCATTAAACTTCAAATAATTATAAAAAGCTTCACTGCAATTTGGTGTAAAGTGTCCGATGAAACCACGATAGTCTTAAATGCCACAGCACATGGCCGCTCGTGAACAGTTCACCGTTGCATAAGTATGATTTCAGTGTTCAAGTTCACATTCCATGTTGAGCACGGTTAATTGTAGAGTAAGTATAGATTCAGTTTTACAGCTCACGTTCCTCACGATAGCAAGCCTTCACAACATGTGTCAGTACGCACCAGCTCACCTGCCGCTCAGCTGCTGCATTCGACGTGCATCCACCCAGTGATACCTACACTGACACTGACTGCATAATTCCTTCCGCAATTCATGTGCAGAGAACCATACAGTTGTGTTCGAGCATACCTAAATTGGAGATTTCATGTTACGCAACAAACAGCATCGCGTTCTTTTCGCTTCGTGCTTGCATGAAGCCAAGGAGCAGTGGGCGCCGGAACACGTGGCTCACTCGGGGTACACACTCTTCCTATTGTGCTCCGCAGGCTCACGGGGAATGCTGTGATTGTTAGAAAGATCTATTTTATCTGAACTTTTCCAGAATTGAGACCGGTTATTTTCGGAAGTTCACGCAGGGTGATCGAGACCGCTGTGGTCTTCGAGACGTTCACGCGGAAGAAGACGTCTTCGGCTTTGAACGTTTAGGCAAACAAAACTGTATGTACACGTAAAACTATTTACAGAAAATAAATAGTTTGACCCACACTTGGGGCTACAGCAACCCTCCCAGTGTCCATAAACGACCAGCTTTTCGGGAATGAAAGGACGCTTCTTTAATTCCCGGTCTTGCCGAACCATTGTGCGTTGCCCTCAGTCTTTCACACCAGCCAAGACTGCGCAGGCAGGTTCGAAAAATAATTGGATGAAAAAATCCAGCAATCCAGACTGCAGCACATAAATGTCGACATGCAAAATCGAAGAAAGGGATTGGGGTGCCCACAATGTCACCTTACAGGGACCAATATGAAATCCAGAAGTTTATATGCCTTTATATTACACATGTTTCTATGACTCACATAGTATTACTAACGTTTTCGTTGTTCCATACAATGTAAAAACAGGAACACTTTTGTCAATGAGATACTGCGAAAACAATCAAGTATTGTTTCAAGGCTGACTTTACTGTAAGCGTGTTTTTCACATTGTTATGGTGTAATGTGGGCCCAGGATCCGGAATAAATCAACCGGCAGTCAGGTGACTCTGTAAACACAACACAGACTTTAACACAACCGATAACTCTCACGATTCACACACAACGCACTATAGCGTTCCTTATTTACATGCCAAACGTCCTACGCGCCTCGGCACACGAACTGTCCTACTCGCCGTTATGACTGTTGCCGCTGCGGCGAGGTCGGTCGTCACCGGTGTTCCTTGTGCAGTCACGCTGCCTTGACCGTGGTGAGGTGGTGGTGGTGGTGATGGTGGTGCTGCAGGCCGGTAGATCACCAGGCCACTGCAGTGCAGGTTAATGGCCCGTCGCCAACATGAGCCGCGGCCACCTCGTGCCACCACTCGGGCCCCAGGACCTCAGGCCACGAACAGACTATGCTGCTGGTCCCCGTGTCAGCGCCGGCCACAGAGCGGGAAGCCAGCTCATCAGGTCCGCAAGGCTGCCGGACACCTGGTTGAGTGACGCAGCCCGAAGCAGGAAGCCAGCTCACCAGGTCCGCAAGGCTGCCGGATTCCTGGTTAAGCGATGTCGCGACCCGAACCGCGGACCAGCAGCTGCCGTTCGAACTGTGTCACGCTCCAACTGCCCGAGCCGCACGCCCCGCTCGCGCTTCCTTTTCCTCGTCTTTGCCTCCAAGGCGTACCGCAGAGCAGAACTGCCGTTCCCTCTTCGCCCCGTCACGGGCCACACAATCCACATCATCACACACATTTTTTTTGTGTTCGTACTATGCTAAAAATAGCAAGTGCCCCTTCATACTTTATTATGGCCACATTGTATTAGTGTACCAGCACCAGAAAAAGAACAATAATAATGTGAACTTCTTACATCTCATAACCACGCTACTATTATGAGGGACGTTGTACGGTGGTTCTCTGAAACTTCTGACTATCTGCAATTTTTTACCGTTCTGCTAAACTAAAGTACGTGGGGCTGGAGCATTTCATCTCCATCGTAGCATACTCACCGTGGCAGGGATTGGATCCGGTGACTTTCGGGTCAGCACTCGAGCACCATGACCACTACACTACCCTGACGAGTCTCAATCAAGAAAACAACGACGAAAATTTCCTTCCATTTATTAGGCACTTACGTGGCAGATTCTATAAGGCACTTATATTGCCTGCGCAAAGGCCAAGGACACAGAGAAATATCACATTGCTTATGCGACTACTGAGAAGGTAACTGTATGATCCACTTACGGTACTATGGGAAGACGCTAATGTCTTAGGTTCAATTCGACTACCCTCAGTGGGCTGGTTGGGTGAAGTGTCTGACTCACTGACGGTGCTTGTAGTCCGACTGTCAGTTTTATCTTCAGCGAAGTCAGTCGTCACTTCTTCATTCACGGTCGTTGTGTCCTCCAGAGTGCTGGGTTCTTTAGTGGAGCAAGGCTTAGTAGTGAGGGCTCTTGAAATCATGGCTGCCCTTTTGCTTGTTGGCTCCATCTCTGTTGTCTTTTCTTTTGTAGCGATTACAACTGTATATTCAGCTTTTGGATTCTCTACTCCAGTTTCTGCTGTATGTTTTATTGTACTTGTTATTGTGGTGTTCCCTGTAGCACTTTCCATTTCTTGCCGCACAGTTGTATACCCCGAAGTTGTAATTGGTGTTCCACTTTCACTTGTTGAATTACTCGGTGCACTAAGGGTCGTTCTGAACACTCTTGTGCTTGAAGTGAGATTTCTTGTTGCTTTTTCCATTTCCTTATGCAACGTTGTATATTCAGCACGGTGTAATACACCGTGATATTCAGATGCTGGTGTCAGTGTTCCACTTGTTGAATGGCCCACTGTACTTTCAGTGTCTGTGTACTCCGTTATACTTTGCGTTGTGGCAGTGCCTGTCGCATTTTCTATTTCTTTATGCACAGCTACATAATCAGCTCTTTCAGTCTCCCTTACTTTTCCACTTGTTGAATTGCCCACTGTACTTCCAGTTGTTGTGTACTTAGTTTTAGGTGTGATGGCATTCCCTGTCGAATTTTCTCTTTTTACATTCAGGGTTGTATAGTCGGATGTTGCAGTTTTTTTGTCGAATTTCCTCGTTGAATTACCTGTTTTTCTTTCGGTTGTTGTATGCTCTCTTGCCCTCGTGGTTGTAGGATTTCTTGTAACATTTTTTAATTTTGTCTGCACAGTTGTATATGTTGATGTCGCCGCCTGTCTTCCTTTTTCACTTGTTGCATGCCCCGATGTGCTTTCAGTTTTTGTGTACTGTCTTGTTATTAAGGTTGTGGCATTCCTTCTCTCATTTTCCATTGTTATGTGCACAGTTGTATTTTTCGATGCTGCAGTCAGTCTTCCCCCTTCAGTTGTTGAATATTCCGCTGTTCTTTTGGTTGCTGTGTACTCTCTTGCAGATGAAATTGAGGCATTTCCTGTTGCATTTTTTATTAATACATGCACATTTGTGGATTTTGATGGCGCAGTTTGCGTTTTCTTTTCACTTCTTCCATGGCTTGCTGTGTTTTCAGGTTGTTGTGTACTCTATTGTAGTTGGGGCTCTTGCATTCCCTGTCGCTTTTTTCATTTTTGTATGCTCAGTTGCATACTTTGATGCGGCAGTCTGTGTTCCACTTTCAATTCTTGAATAATCTGGGGTACTTTCGATTGTTGTAGGGCCTGCTGTGCTTTTAATTGTTGAGTACTGCTTAGTTGTTGGGGTTGTAGCAGTTCCTGGAACATTTTGAATTTTCGTTTTATGCAGCTTTGTATACTCTGAAGTTGCAGGCTCTGTTCCACTTTCACTTTTAGCATTCCCCAGTCTTCCTTCAGTGTCTGTGTATTTGTATTCGCTCGTAAGTGCAGTTGTGGCATGGTTTCTCGTATGAGATGTTTTTCTGTGAACATTTGCAAATTTTGATGTCGCTGTCTGTAATTCGTTGTGACTTGTTGACTTTGCCGCTATACTTTTTGTTGCTCCATCCCTTATGACACTTTCCATCTTTGTTTGCTTTGTTGTATTTTCTGTTACATACTCTGTTGCATATTTTTCAAAATTCTTTGCAGTATTATTGGTCGGTATAAAAAAATTAGTCTCTGTTTTTGCAATCCCTGTACTATATTTTGTTGTATCTTGCGTAGTTGTATTTTCTGTACGTGAATTGGCTGGTTTCTTTTCAATTGTTGAATCATGCACTGCTGTTTTTGTTGGATACTCCACTGTAATATTTGTCGTTAGCTCACCCTTTGCGTTTTTCATTGTGGTACTCACCACAACACTTTCTTTTTCTTGCTGCAGTCTATTTGTTCTTGTTGCATTCTCTGTCAGATTTTTCATTCCTCCATATTGCTTTTTTGTTTCTACTGTTGCAACATTACTTGTAAAACTTGTAGTGACGTATGGTGTTGTGTTTTGCGTCGGTGTATATTCTGTTGTACAATCATTATGTGTTGTTGCATTCTCGGCATAGCTTTCTGTTATTGAAGCCTGCCTTGTATTATCAGTCTGTGCAGTTTCCTCTTGAATTCTAATTGTGGTCACCTTCGTTATATAAACATTCGGGGCATTCTCAGTTGTATTTTGAGCTGCGTACTTCGCTGTAACGTCTGCTGTTGAAGACTCCATTGTAATTCTTGTTATTGTATGATTCGTCAAACTCCCTAATCTTGTATAATTGAGTGAATGCTCCGTTGCAAGTTCCACTTTTCCGTGCGCCTCTGAAGTTTCCTTTTGTTCATAAATTTCTGAGGGCTTTCTTGTTGCATTAGTGGTAGCATTTCTTGTTGTCGAAATATTTTTTGCTTCTTCTGGTTTTACAAGTTCTGCTACAGTTTTGAATGTTGTCCTGCCTGTCGTATTTGTTACGCTATCATCCTGGGATCCATAATCAGGAGTACCATTAGTCATACTTTCTGTAGTGGTATGCCCCATTTCACTCTGGGTTTCTGCGTGGTCAGTTTTGTTTGGCGTTGCTTTATCCGTTTGATACCTAGGAGATGAGTACATGGTCACATTTGAAATCGCTGCACTTTGTAATGTAAAGACTCTAGTGGCTTTATTTTTCGTACCTTTTGTTTCTTCATAACCTGTGGTATTTTCTGTTGCGAGAGTTTCAATTGTTATTTTTGTTGTTGATATCTGTGTTGAATTTGTCATGATTTCATTTTTCATTTTATCTGTCATTGTAGGTGTATTCGTTGTGTTCTCTGTGTTAGTTTTCATTGCATGTTTTGTCGTCATATTGGTCGCTGTATCTTCAGTTGTTTCGTTCGTCCCCCAAATTTTTGTATATACAGATGCTGTGGTGGAATGCTGTGTTCCAAATATTAGTGTATTTTTTTCCGTTCCAACACTCATTGTTTTGCGTTCAGTTGAATTTTCGTTCACTGCATTTCCAGTTGTTGCATCGTATTCCGTACTTAATTTGGTTGCATTCTCTGTGGTGTTTAATGTTGAGACATTCTCCGCTATGTTATCTTCTTTCGCATGCTGTGTCCTGTTTTTTGTTTTAATAACTATACGTTCCGTGGAAGCCACCGGAACCCGCCGCTCAGGTGTGCCACTTGTCACAAATGTTTCTTTTTCATCAATTGGTAGACATGTTACATCGTCAACATGAACACATTTTCCGTGTTGGCAGACGTGATTTTTCCTGGTGCTTGGCAATAACTGTAAGGATAAACGGTAAATTATGAAACGTGTCATTCCAAATTCATGAAGACGAAATATACATCAGTTAAATAAAAGCAAGTGAAATAACACTGCATGATCGTAAGTTAACATACTTTGTCCTGGAGAGACTGCAGAAGTAATATGGTGAAAAAAATGCGCAAATGCTCACTGCTCCATATAAGTCATACCAATAATAATTCGTTCAAACGCGACAAACTGCTCTCTATGTGCTCCTGAATTCATTTTCTGGTGCTTGCTACGTCTCTTGTCAATATTAATTTAATAAACTGGCACTATACTGATGGCTGCCCTAATTCAATATTTAGGAACACATTTATAAAATTTTAGATCAGTATTCGCCCCAATTTCTATTTAGCTACGCAAAGCATTTCTGTCTCAACGCTGAGTTCGTATGACAAAGTTACAGGAGGGTCACTGTCACTAAATTTTAAAAATTGGTATCTTCTCAATATAAGAACATCCGCAAGCATCTTGATCGCAATTAAAAAAAGAGGATGCTAGATATCCAGACCTACATTAATATTCTGAATCTTTTTAGAGCTTAGGCGCACGCTATCTTGATGAAACGCCAGGCTTACAGGGCAGGCGCAACCCAGTTACAGTGAAAGCTGGTAGATTGGCCTTACTAAAACCTGGTTTTATTTTCTTTGCGCTACTAATAGAAGTAAACTTGCAAACTATCCACTGCAGTATACATAATTTTTGCGACGTAGAGATGCATCCACAGTGGCATTAGTGGTCATTTCGCGGAAACGTGAGGAACCCGCTGCGCTTTTGTACGGCATTATTTTACTTTGATGATGTGGCTGCGGACAATAATCATTGAGGGCCGATGACTTTGTAGCAGGTTGAAACCCACACACTTGTCCCGTAGTTCACATTGCGTGATGCCTGGTCGTTATTCTACTTTTTCACCACATTAAGTGACATTTTTACCGTGAGACTTTACCCGACGTGCCGCTTGTACGGGGTTTTTTTCAAAGATTCTCAAGATATGGCGTGGCTTTGTGGTTTCAATGACGTCGGCGCATGAAATTGCAGGTCGTCCAATAATCTGAACTGCAATAAATCACGATGAATTTTTCATGTGACAAAGAAGATTCTGGCATTATTGTTGATAGCAAAGTTAGTTTTTGAATAAACGCAATTGGTCAATCACGTTTGATGCATATCGAAAAGTACTTAAAATGAAAAGGCTCTAACACGTTCTGGTAAGATTCACGCAAAGTAGTGTGGACATGTTCAACAAGTTGGGTAAATAAAAATCGAATAATAAGTTCCATTGAAAACGTGTGTTTTAGGTTGTAAAAGCGTGAGAATAGTGGCCGAAATACTTACGCCACAAGGAATCCCGTCAGGTTCATTTTCAATGCGGGGAGGCCACCAAGAAGACATATAGGTGCAAAATCTCGTGTAAGATCCTTCAGCCTGCGCACACCGTCAAGACAGTTTGCTTGTTTGCAGGACTTTCAAATTTTAGCTGTTTATAACGAAGAAATATTGGCCAAAAAACCGACGTTTATTAAAAGCGGGGAAATTCAAAAATTACAAGAATGAAAAAACAAATTGGTTGTCCAAAATATTAGGAAAATGCAAGAGTAATTAATTTATGTACCAATAACATCCAGTCATCCTCTGTGCCTCTTCTTTATCGTTCTCTGTCTTTTGACTTCTCGATTCCTTCCGTGTTGTGTCACAAATCATACGGCGTTCAACATCACGGAAATACTTGTTTTCACATCAACTGAACATTCATCAAGATGCGATACGAAAAGACAAAATATAATAAGATAAAAAAGGTTGTTGATACTCTCTCACCAAACTTTTATTTAGAACAACGTATCATTGAATAGAACTCAAGAAGTTTAAGGATACCTCATTCATATGGCCGAAGCACAACAGCCTGTCGCCTACGGAACTATGAAGAAAACAAAAAAAAAGAAAAATTAACTACCGTGACTACCAGCAAGAGATGCGTCAAGCGGTATTGTGGTTGTTCCCGTCAAATATCTTACTTCCGTGAAACAGACACTACTATGAAAACCATGCCTGTGTTTCACCAACAAGAAATTCATCCTATATTGTTGTAAATGAAGTAATTTTACTTGAAACGCTACAGTCAAAAATGAAAATTCTTGTGTGGTTAAACAATATTTCTCGAGACATTTCACAGTTTTGTCCAAACGTTGCCGTTCTGTTTATTCCTGCCCTATGATCTTTCTATATGCAGTATTATTTTTTATGAATGTACGTTTAAGGCTCCCTATGCGAATATATTCATCACAAAAATGTTGGCAACTTTTGGAAAGGAAAAAAATTCTTCATCGACAATTTTCCATTGGATTTTGGTTGCAGCAAAAATTTTATTTCATTATCACGGCTGTGAACTATTACCACCTCTTTTGAAGAAAGGCAACAGAAGAAGTTCCAAGTAAGCCGTTATAAAGCATACGAATGAGCAGCGACACATACTACGTGCAGTTGTTGAGAAATTTTAAGTTGTGCTTCCATTCTCTCTATTCACCTACCAGCAATGCTCTCTTGCACTTGGCACCACCAGACTCTTCCATCGGCCGAGCTGTAAATATCAGACCTTTAAGCATCACTTTTGAAGGGCATCATTGATGTCTGTGTTTATATTCAAACTGGTGGTTGCAATATTATAGATCAGTTGCAGTATTATAAAAGTTCACGCTGAAAAGACACTGAAATATTTTTTTTGCAAAAACACATCAATCCTGTATATCAAGGCTTTCGTAAATGGTAAACGCAAACCATACAAATCGGGTGCTTGAAAGGCGTAATACTACCGGCATTTCGGATCATACTCTCTCCTTCAGACTACGCGTGCTACGTGCAAATCTTCGGTGAGAATCGTTAGTGCGAACGCAAGCAACATAATGGGTTGTTCCAATGGCGTTGAATTTTGTGTAAACTACTTAACCTTTGGGGCGTAAAGGTTTGTGGGCCCCCGACTTGTACGACAACTGCTGATGCGACCGTTTACCTACGTACGACGAATGAGCAAAGCTGGTTAGGTTTTCACTTTCTGTTCGCGGGGCTTCAGGTTCCCCAGATCCCACGTTTTTATGCATCTCTTGGAAGCCATCGAGTAACATGTCTGTGCATTTCGCTTGCCAGTATAGAGGGCATGCCAGACTAGAGGGCTTGCCAGGCTAGAATAGAGGACTTGCCAGACTAGAACGCGCGTCACGTCACTCACTTAGCCGAACCAGCCCAGTCGTGGCCAAACATGCGAACCTCTATTGTGGTGAGGTCGCAACGCACCTTTAGATTGGTGATTGCTGATTACTGCGTTGTTAGAAACGTATCTTACTGGAAAGGTTAATGTGAACGCACATGGTCGCTAGCTAGACAAACGAAAGAGGCAGCTGTTACTCGATACGACAGTCATGACAGCTGTGATTGCCCTCCAAACTTGGCATCGTTGTGATAAGGTCGGTGGCGTAGAGTTTGGATAAATTTATTAGTGCGAAAAGGCGAAAGCCCCAAGAAGCAACACAGCGCTGAATTCACAACTTTGATTAGTCACTTCGAACGCAAGGCTTTTTCCTTGAAATGCCTCGAAGCGACGATAAGATAACATGGTGAAAAGAGGTGATAAAGAGCCTCCCCACAGCCACTTACTAAAAAATGGGGACCATTGGGCTTCGCTTCAATAGCTTAATGCGAAAGAAGTAGTCGGTCTTTAGTGCGTACTTCAAAGACTTTTTGCATATATTTCATTGCATTATGTTGCTCGAGAAGCCTAAGTGTAGATTGATACAACGTGCTCAATAAAATTGAAAGTGGTTTGTGTCAATGGAGCTTTTGCATATGGCTGCATACTCTGTAATGAAAAGAAAACTTTAAACCACAAGCAATTATGAAGTGCAATATTTTTTAACCTGTTATGCAACCTTTCTGTGGCCTTAAGGGAATAGCCGCAGTAACGTGGGGACCTTGGTAGTGGGTGGCCAGCTTCGAACAATGAAGTCACTATAATATTCACATGTTCCGACGTCCGATTGCAGTGAACGCTGCTTTCACGCATAAATAGTGCAATATTACATGTTGTATTGTGAATAGTATATTCATGATGCACGTGTTTTTACAGCATGAAAGTTAAGTTCACTGTATTTCCAAGCACACGAAGTTATTTTCGCTTTGTTTCAAAGCGGACGCGTGGCTGTGAGGTAGGACACTTTCTTACAAGAAACGACCCGGTTTTTGATACTCACTCGTAGTGGCAATTTTTAAAATTAATTTTATTTGCATCTCTTCCAATTTATCGCTCACTCAAAAGATGATTTTTCATCCACAACCAATGACGCAGACACCGACGCCGGCGAAACAAGCTTTTTAACGCAATCGCGTTAAATTAACGAATGAAAAGTGACAGTGTAGTCCGAATATTTTAAACCAACAAGTACTCCACCAGTGTTGGAAAAAGGGAACACAATTATTTATTTTAAACCAACTGGCAAACACGTTGAAGCCAGAGAAAAGAAGTTAGCAACACAGTAAAAAATATAAGATATCTAAAATACCAAAAAGCGTAAAATAAGTATTTAAAAGATATAAAACAGGGACTTAAACACTATTAAAAAGTTAAGCGCTGTAGGTAACTTATATCCTATATTGTTGAAGGAAAAGGAGATACTGCTGAAACATCTGTCACATAGTTTTTAGAATTTTACTGCTTATAAAATTTCCCTGACAATCAATTCACCCCTCATGCCTGGCAAAGACAGTGCTATCCTCGAAGTAGGGGCAGCAGCCAATGACTCGATAGTGTATCGCTAAATCACTGCAGACTACCACTGACAAGTTCTTGCGGTGCTCTACGGAGTGATGCTTGAGACACAGGCGCATTTGTCTGACGTAGTACTTGCCCCATGAGAGTGGCGTGTAATACTCGATTCCTCGCTGACACTACTCAAAAGGATGGCGGTACTTTGTTTCATACATGTCGTTGCCGCTGGGGAAAGCATTCACCGACAACCCGGAGAGTTTCTCGGGGGCAGTAAGTGCCAGCCTCACGTCCCAATGGTGGGCGAAGTTTCCCGGGTTTTGTAACACCCCATGCATGTATGGTGCAATTGCGGTTCTCTTTCTAGGAGTTGGCACTTGATCCTGCACTCTGTCGGCACATTTCGTGCCTGCAAACAAACTTTCTGCTACGGCCGATAGCACGTGTGAAGGATACCCTGCAAAGGCAGGTGCTCAGTTTGCTTCAGAAAGCTTGTGTCAATGCTGTGCACGCACGACTTACGCAAAACGTTTGTGAAACAAGCCCTCATCATTGATCTCCTTAAAAGCTTAGTGTAGCTGACTGAAATGACACAAAGTTTTTTTTCTGCATGTGCTGCATAAGAGCAACAGAAACGCTGAGGTTCTAACTTAAGCTCGAGGTACAAAAAGCGGAGTCACGAATCTTGTAGAACTTCACACGTCACAACAGGTGGCGCTAGACATTAAAAAATAGCACCAGAAAGTTAAACAATGTTTTAAATCCTATATTATCTCCATCAAATAATACTGTATAATAGAATACGAGTGCGACATTTGAAATACCCATGCGACAATCGTCTCCTGTAAGCGCTCAAGGAAGACTGGCTGACCTGTAATAAGACTCGTGGATTGGCGAGAAAATTGTGAGCAACGGAAATAAACGAGCAGGAGCTTGAAACTTTGAAAAGCTTGTGGAAATTCTTTCTACCATAGTCGTGAAGATAAGGAAAACTCTGGTTGATTTGGCATTAAATGCACCCTAGTACAATATGGTCCACCACGGGGCACCGTGTAGTACCGACGTCCGGTTTATTCGTTGTCTATTCACCTCAAACTTGAAATGCACAAAACCACGTTGCGTATAATCAATCTTCATTAGTAACGTGCTTTATTACAGAGAGACTTAATAAAATGAGAGAGAAGCAAGCAGGTAAAACTCACTTTAACTTGTTCAATAAATGTCTAAATCTCACAAGCATGAGTAGGGACGCCTCCGTTTATGATTATGACACAAAGTTTGGGAGTACTGATTTTCTAAAGCGGAAAAGAGAGATAGAGACGAAAGATTAATGTAGAAATCATAGTGCTGCTGAGAAATCCAAATTGATCCAATATAAATAAACACGCTTCTTATCCCAATCGCCTTCATTATTTGTCTGTTCTCCCTGAATAGGAGCCCCGCCGCGGTGGTCAAGTGGCTAAGATACACAGCTGCTGACCCGCAGGTCGCGGGTTCGAATCCCAGCTGTGGCGGCTGCATTTTCGATGGAGACGGAAATGTTGTAGGCCCGTGTTCTCACATTTGTGTGCACATTAAAGAATCCCAGGTGGTTGAAATTTCCGGAGCCCTCCACTACGGCGTCTCTCATAATCGTAAGGTGGATTTGGGACGTTAAACCCCACATATAAATCATATCAATCAATCCCTCAATCGAGTGCGCTCACAGAAATTATTAACACAGAACAGTCAGTTTCTAAGAGTTCCCAGTCATGGGGGATAGTGCTAGTGAGTGAGTGTAGTGAGTGAGAATTTATTAGAAGGCAGAGAGGTCGGCCTGAGCTAGTTCGCTCTAGCCTGCTACTCTACACAGGGGATAAGAAAAAGGGGAAGGAAAGTGGGATGAAGGGTGAGGATGGGGACAAGAAGAGGTGGTGCGTATGTACAGTAGCCACTTAGCATAGTACCCTACAGTCTAGTTTCTAGTCCAGTGGTTTTTATAAAGTCTAGAACAGCCTTTGTAGCAGTTTTTGATACTGTTTGGTCGTTCATTGCTGACAATATGTGGCTTTCACTTAATAGTGTTCGTCCAATGCTTGCCAACGTTGCAGTTAGCATTTTTCTTTGCGCCACGTATAATGCACAGTCACAAAATATGTGAGCTATCGTTTCGCGCGCTTGGCAGCGTTCACAATTTGGGCTGTCCGCACGGCCGATTAGGTGGGTGTAGTGGCGAGTGAAGGCGACGCCCAGGCGAATTCGGTGCAGTATATTAGCATGTCTTCGGCTGATTTCATCTGGAAGACGAAAAGTCATACCGGGGTCTGTTTCCCGCAGGCGCTTGTTCTGGTGATCTGGTAGCGACCAGTAAGTGGCAGCGTATTCGCACATGAGTGATCTCAACAATGTGTTGACGTCACCTCGCGAGTAGGGTACTTTGACGTACATAGGAGCGTTGTATATTGCCGCTCTTGCTTCGCTATCGGGATAGTGCTAATCAAATGAGTGAAGTAGAGGAAATTTTGGCATAAATAGACGTATACTCGTAGCTGCATACATAACTGGTTTCATGCTATTGAGACTGTTCAAGAATAACTAGGAACTAACAAACAATGCTAAAAATAGGCACATTAAAGCTTTGGTAGTGTTGAAAAACTCACCGCAATTACCAGACAACGTGACCCATTGTTCACTTATATTTGTAGGTCTGCAGTATTTATCTAAGAGAGGCATACTAAGCTTTATTGTAAAAATTGTATTTACTAGCATCAAAAACTTCCGTGCTACAAAAGCAACGACTAAAATATTAACTTTTACACTCATTAGCTAACCCATTAGGAACGCTT